GGACTGCACAGAGAGTAAGGATTATAAGCTTCAATATTGCAAAGTAAAGGATGTGGGCCGTCTAGGGACCGAATACATCCGTCCCGCATCCAACTCGCTCAAATATCGACAAAGGGAAGAATGTGGGCCGCCTGTGGACCGGATATATCCGGCCCACAAAATCCAACCCGCTCAACTATCGACAAAGGCAAATAACAACTCGCTACACATCTAAGGTCCTGCACATCTACGTATAGGAATCCTGAACCTAAGCACAACACATGGGCAAACTCATGGTATACGACTCCTCAACTACGAACAACACATCTGCGGTACTGCAGAACAAATGATGGACGCCAGCTTGCATCTAATAGCGGGTATGTGAATGTTCGAGAAATGAAAAGGCKGATCTTGTCCCCACGCCWAATWGGAAGCAAACATTAACATGAAAACCCCACAGCTGGATCMGTCAGCCTGCTTTGGCACTCCTTTGGCGAGAACTTGAAATCTCATGTTATCATAGCCTTGGGGCAACCCTCTGTCCATTGCCTCTTCGTTCAGGTACTGCACGACCGCTCTATATGCAGTCGAAGCGAACGTCGCGTCGCATACTGCATTATAATAAGAATCGACGAACTGTACGATGCCCTTTTCAAAGTTCACTAACAAAAGAGCCCAGTTTTCGCATACTGCACTTTGTGTTCGAAAAGATTGACATCTTTTGTCCATCTTCTGACACCTTTACAACACTGAAGTAGCAATTTCGTGAAGAAGAAAGAAATGAAGTACATTTTCAAAGAAGATGTACGACACTCCTGAATGAGCAGTTCTAAGTAGAAGTTGATGACCTCGTCGTTCAACTCACCGCCTCTGTCCAACAAGGTCTCTATGTCCCTCACCCTAACAACCATGTTCTCCGTCGGTAGGCGAGCCACAACCATAGAAGGGGTCGGGAGACAGTGTACAATGTTGTCCAACAACTTCAACAACTCTCCCTCACTTCTTCCGATGCTCGGTGCGCACATGTCCGCTGCAGAGACCAACCAAGCAACATGCATGACCATGAGAACGATACCCTAATTGTCAAAGCCGCCCAGTTCCTTGCTTTTAGTATTAAAAGCATTATAAATCTTAACCCCTCTACTCGTCGTTCTGTCAAAGTACGACTCAGGTTGAGAAACTGGAGAAACAGTAAACCTCTTGCAAACTCTCATATGCAACTTCTTAACTCTCTCAGCACTCACACCCGCCGCTTTCACAATTTCCATATCCTTTGTGGACAGTTGCGACATACTCGTCTTCGACTTCCTCCGTTCACCATATGAAGGAGACGGCCGACCTGTACAACAGATGAAGAAACATAGTTATGAATAAAGGGTACGGTCGCGCTTAGCGAACCAAGGGGAAACGAGCAATTACCCTCATGTTCTCCATATCCCAAGCCGCTATCTATATGCAAAAGTTCACTCCACACGTTCTGCACTAGATAGACCCAGAGTTAAGCAACACAAGTCACTGCTTACCAGCCACGGGGTCTTCTCCAGCATGTTCAACAACATCCTCGGCCTTGTGAGCTCCAATTCGTGCCACCTCCGCCTGTATGCATATGGTTTTCAAACCCAACACTATACCTCCTCCTTTCATCTTCCCCGATGCAACAATGTGGTCCAGACTCGCGGGAAACTTGGACAAGTCCTTGATGTCAGCATTGACAATTCAAAGAACCTCCTCAGCAGAGGGATCAAGAGAGTCGACACGCGGTTTCTCGACATCCTCATTGAGAGACAGTTCTTCCAGAGCCATCCTACCCCCCGAAGACTCGCGTGGACTAGAATCGATCACAGTAAGGTATTCGTCGGCATTGAAAAGCTTTCTGACAACGTCATCGCCCAACGAACGACAGATAGCTCCCTTTTCCTGTTCCGACACGCTAACTTCTCTCTCCTCCGCGCACCGACCTAGCGCGAGTGTAGGTGAAGGGAGTTCTGAGGACCGCATGACAAACGTCTGAGTTGACTTGCCAGCAAGGACGTTTCCAGCCGGAAGCGGTGCTGTATCCATTACCGAATACAACTGCGAGAGAAAGTCCTCCTCCGTATCGCCGCATCTCACCTCAGTGGCACCCCTACATCTCACTTCAGTGGCAAGAGTCGTGTTCTGTTCAGCACTCTCCTCTATGATGTCCTTATCTTCTGAATAATGTGTTGACTCCAAGCCATTGGACTTCGTCTGCTCGTCCTTTGTCATCTCTCCCCGGGGAGGAATCAGATTCGTTGTGGGGAGGATAAATCCTCCACAGGCTAAAGGGCTCTGGACTCCCGGGACGCTTGCGGGAGGGACACCAACTTGCATTTCTTGAGCCTGACTTGTTGTCCTCCGCCAGCTGAAGGGCTCCAAACTCCCAAGTCGTTTGCGGGAGTGTTTCCTACATGTGTTTCTTGAGCCTCACTTACTGTATGGAGGATAGATCCTCCACTGGGGGTGAGGCTCTGAACATCGGCGACGCTGGCAACTTCCTGGACGGGGTCGGAAAGTCTGTGGACTCCAGGGACGCCTACCGAATGGCTTCCTACTGGCATTTCCCCACATGTAGCGGTAGAGCTCTTCGACGGCACGTCGGCTGCACAATCTACTGTGGGTCGGAAATATCCTCTGTCCACAGTCTCCGCATGGGCGACTTGCGACTTGGGGAGTAACTCTATGGAGCGGATAGATCCGCCACCAGTGGAAAGGCACCCCACGTCCACATCCATCCTCTGTTCGGACTCTTTAACATTCACGGATCCAACTACTGCCGGTTCCAAAGCGGACAGGAAATTGGAGCCCGCAGAAACTGTGTATGGTACGTTTCCGACAGGGAGCGATTTGGACATTGTCGAAACTTCGGCTAGGACTGTGAGGAGGATAGATCCTCCCCTGAAGAATACTTCATCAGTCGGTTGAGCAAGCCGAGAACCTGCACTAGATTGTGAGCTCGCCCCTTCTACTGCACTAATGCCACTGYKCMRMC